ATATATATGCAATTGAGTTGATTGTTTATGATGAAAAACAGATAAGTGGTGAAGGATACAGGGGATATGAGCAGTTCCAAATGTGAGACAAACCATCATTTTGCAGTGTCAAGGGTGCAACTTGGGGAAAAAATGAACATAGAAAAAAAGATTTGAAAGAAACTAGCAAGTATAATTGTCAGATACCTCATCTCCATTCACCAAATCGTTTCTTTCATGGTACAAAATAGAGGACAGATTACCTGGTATCCTACTTTCCATCTCTACTTTTCTGCCATTATGTACATAAAAGGATTAAGACTAGCATAACCCCTTGGGACTGTTCATGCTAATTACCCACAATATTGTTTCCAGTGGCTTGGAAAGTTCTGCAAATTGTTGCCTGTTGTTCATGTTTCTCTCTTTCCCTGTTTTTGCTTGCCTTTCCTCCTGCCTTTTGGCAGTTAACCTTTTTTTTTTTTTTTAATGTTTGCTGATGTTTAATAAACAAGCATCAGGCTATATTATTTTTGCTAGCTGAACTGAGTGGTGTGTGTGCTTGCTCTGATCTGGATTTAGGGATTAACTGGGAATGTGCTGGGTACAAACTAACTTGGAAATTACCCACAGTCGTTTTCCAACAGAATGACTGAAAATATGAGTCCCAGCTAGAAAAAGGATTAGAAGGTAGATTAATCTCCCAACAGAATGGATAGAAAGTGGACAGAATGAACTATGATATGGAAGCTGGTTGGAAAAAGTGAAAAAAAAGTATAGAGTATGTGAAAGTATGAAAAAAGTTACTTAGTGCAATAATGAAATGAAAGGAGCCATAGATGAGAAAAATGCATATAAGAAAATGATTGTGACAGAAAAATGAGGATGAGAAAAAGGTATTTATTCATTTGTACGTCACTTACAAACTCTAGGCAGTTATAAAAACAAAATAGCAATAATGTATATATAGAGAAAAAGATAGCTGAAAGAATAAGTCAAAGAGAACAAGAAATGGTTAAGTTTAAAAGACCCCAAGAAAATGAACATTAGTTAATTATGATGTTATGCTGCTTCAAAACTATTTTTTTGTTTTCAAAGAGGTGACTTCAGCAGAGTAGATGGAATAAAAATGCAAGTGATGAAATGATGAATTGCTGGAAAGGATGAGATTTCTACAGGAATTAAAGTGATACATTGAGGAATGGGACTGAAACAAATACTATAAAATTAAGCACAGAGTAGTAAGCATTTGTGCTTCACTGCTTAAGGCCACTATTGAGCACTATGTATTGATTATTGTTTTGCCTAAGGAAACATAAGGGCTTGTGCAATATAGCTATATAACTATTGCTGACAGTATTTAATTTGTGATGTAGCTGAAATAAGGATGAAATAGTAAGCCAAAGAAATTTAAGTCATAAAAAAAGAAAAAGGAAACATAGCTAGAACTAATTTACACCAACACCACACTTTTTTGCAAACCATTCTTGCTTGCACTGCATACACACATATATTGCCTTTTATTCTTTAAAAATATTCACTTTTCTCTTTTACAGGATTTCATGTAAAATGTTCACTTCTCTCTTGTACAGGATTTCATCCAACCACAACTTTCTCAGTGTTTTGCTTCTTCTTGACCCATTAATTCTTTCCACCTACATTGGTTTTTCAATGAAATCTTCATTCATTTTCTCTATATAACAAAGTAGCTCAATATATTTCTTTCATGCCAGTCGCTCCCTTTTGTATCTAGTCCACATTCATTCAGCACCTTTTTATTCTTGATCTTATCTTGTCTTGTTTTACCATGCAGACATCTTAAGTGTCCCATTGCCACTGCTCAGTAAGACTTCCATATCCATGATCAAATATTATGGATGGGGCTATATATTGCTATTCAGATAGCAAGACACCCTGAAACAACCAGACTGGTATAGTAGTTACGTAGCCCCAGGGAGATCCAGCTTCAAATCCACCTTCAGCTACAGAAGCTTACTGGGTGGCTTTGTGCCAGTCGCTGTCTCTCAGTCCAACCTACTTCACAGGATTGTTGCTGTGGGGAAAAATGGGAGGAGGGAACACTATCTACACAGCTGTGAGCTTCTGAAGAAAAGGCAGGATATAATTCTAATAAATACATACATTAATATATTATCTCCTCATCAATACAATATAAGCTGCATTAACTAGGATATATATATATAGGTACTGTCAGGCACTGTACACACTGTGTGATCTATGCAAACATGTTAGATCCTAGTTTCAGAGATTTCTCTTGCTGAATTAAAGCAATGATGGACAAGATTAATCAGAATGAGCAAAAATCTAGACACTGTTTTTCAACATAGTATCTCCAAAGACATAGGCTATTGTGATATAGGTCGCAAGAGTCACTGTGCACTTCTAAACCAGTCTGATTAAATGGAGATGTAAATATATGTGGGCACATGTTTGCCATAATGTGCCTAAACAGCAGCAACATTACATATAAATAATGATGTTTATGACCAAGATGGATAGCTAGCTGTTTCATTTAATCCTAGGACTTGTGTTTGAATTCATATTTTCCTCAATGTTGCAAAACGAAATAGATTTTTGAGAGAGATTTCAGAGATTGTGGTACAGCTTTTTTTAAAAAAAGGTGAATGGAGTGGTATATTTACTAGCTAAGGTCAGATAACAATGGTTTTAATTTGTGAACAAAATGACATTTACATGTTTATGAAGAAAAAAAAAACTACTATATTCTTACTGTTTTCTTATCACAGATGCAGAGTCAAGTCCAAGAAGAGAGATGGCTTTGTCTTTGTCTGGCTCGCCATTCCTCAAAACCTTCAGTCTCAAAGGCATGTTGACATCTGATTTCTTACCAGCAGGTTTCTTTAGTGGAGGGCTGTTTGGAATCAGCAGACCTTCAATGGGCCAGTCAAAAGCCTTTCAGCACAGAAATAAATATTGATTCTATGTAGGTATTATAATACTATATATTATAAAAATGATAAAAATGCTGCTGCTTGGAGACATCAAAGAGCTTCACATGTGGAATTGGAAAATAGATTGAAGTTCAAGAATAACAAAAGTATCAGTACTAGCAAATACGTTACACCAGTTCTTCTGCAGACAGGACTCAGCTGAGAATAACTGAAAGTTAATTTTTTTTCATAGTTATTTCAAAATTCACAGATAGTTGAATAGTTACATAGATTACTACCTGCCTAGGAGAGATACTGTAAGGTGGAAAGCTATCATGGTTACTCACATGTATATTTGAAAGTAACTCATGAAGCCACTGAATCCCATATTCTCAGTGTTTGAACAATTGGAGATGACAAAACCAAAAGCCTGAAACTACAACTTCAGACATGTAAGATCTTTTGGTTCCCAAAACTAATCAACAAAAGTTACTAGGTTTGTGCAAAGCATTGAAGGGCTGTTTTGCTTCAGTGATGCTTTAAGTGAGGCAACATGCTCCCAACATTTCTGACAACAAAGTGAAGCTGCCACGTTGTGCTGCTGTGTTTGCTCTAACTGCTTACAAATATATGGGAGAACCCCCTTCTGGCTATTGGATCTGCTAGCTGAGGCTTCTACAACAGGAAACACTTCACTGAGGTAAATCTTGCCTCCTGTTTATATTGATGAGGAGAATCACATTGTCTTCACAAACATCTTCCTAAGGTAAATCCAAGTCACCTGGGAAACTGGAGTTTAATTCTATGTGTGACATGCTGGCTAAAATATGCCAAAACTGATCAAAGTTGTTCTTAATATTCGTACGGTAGCATATAGCAAAGGTATGACTAAGATTGATAAATCAATACCTTCTTTACATTACTATAAAACATTATATCAATGTCTCATTGAGCAAAGTAATGATGGGTGACAGAGGTCAATACCTATGGCCCTTCTGGTATGACCATAGCTTATGGAAGATTGTGACTTGGAATGTAAGAGGATTAAATGGTATAGAGCCAGAATTAACTAATGGAAGAGGAAAACAGAAAATAGAAATATGTCTCTGAAATTAAAATAAAGGGGAAAAATGTAATAGATATGAATAAAGATAGTCTGACCTTGTGGAGTAGAGATGATGAAAAGATTCAGAGAAATGAAGGTGTAGGTTTAATTATGAATGAAAGGGTTGAAATCTATGTCATAAAGTATGAATTGGTGTCATCTAGGTTGCTATGGGTAAGTATGAAAATAGAAATTCATAGGTATATGATAATTTTATGTTACACTTCATGCATACAGATGTCAAAGAAATAAATATAGTTCTAAAAGAATTGATATGATTATCATGCAAATATGAAAAGGGATGTTTGGTAGAATAATATAGAAAAAGAGGGTGTGGATTAGAAAAAATACATATGAGAGTGCTGCAAAAATGAGAATGAAGGAAATTTATATAGAGAAAAGTAGAGATGCAAAAACATAATTTAAAGAGGTAGAGAAAATGCACAACAATTTTGACAGAAAAAGTTGTTTTGGAAGTGGGTGAAGAGGGCTGAACAAGAATCTTCCAGCAGAGTGAGTAGAATTAAAAATAGAAGTGATGAAATAATTTGGAACGAAACAAAAGTGAAGGAGTGCTATGGGTATGCTGAACTATCCTTTTCACAGCAAAGTTATATTATTTTATTATAGTAAGTGGCATATCACATATCCATTCTCCAAGCAACTTAATCTTTTATTGGGAAGCTGCATGATGCCGTGAAAAGAAACATTTGCTTTAAGAAGTTGGCAAGAGGTGCTACATGAGGGCTCCCTGTGCTCTGAAGCACATTTTTTCCCTTGAAATCTAAAATACTGCACAGCCGTACTAGATACATTGCATTATTGGTGGGAATGAGACAACCACTTCAGCCAGCAGCAAGTGCTGATAAGGTAAGAAAAATCCAAAAAACAGAATTCCAAGCACATGGCCTGTGTCACTCTTAATTAAACTTCTTTACTTAGTTGCAGTAGAGAATGCTGTCCATTTTGATTGTTTATGCAAGCTTTTAAAAGTGCCATTTGTACCTTAAAATGTGGAAGTGCCAAATTTACCTTTGCCACATGCACCAAAATTTGTTTGCTAGCCCTGTATCTTCAAACCCCCAAACCATGTACAAAGATATGATGCATTAGTACATGGATATCACATCTGTTTCTTTCATTACTGCATTACAAAGAATTACTGCAATTCTTTGATCTACATTAGAAATTAGTTGCCACCACTAATGGCAATACTGGCAGTAACAGATGTTTTCTCATTTATTATTGAGCTTTTTCTTTCATCTTCTTTCAATGTTCTTTTTATCATTTATACGTTGATGTGGCTTCTCACATGAACATGTGTGTGGGCAGCATACGGTACAATACTGCAAACCTAAACTGGAGGCTAGCCAGCATCTGAAATAAGAATACTTACAATGAGTACATCCAAATGATCAAACCGATATCATAAGGGCCCATGAATAATGTTGTGGATACAAATTTCAGATAGGAGATGTGGAATTTGAGGGAACAGATCTTCCTCTCTTCTACCTGGATGCTTTAGTTACATTCTGTTTTACTTGGACAACTTTTTTATTCTGACTGGTGGGGTCTAGAAGGAGAGCCTTTTCTGCTGTTGCCCCCACCCTGTGAAACATCTTACCCCGAGATGAGATTGTCCCCCTCTCTTATGGCCTTTTGGAAGAACGTTAAGACCTGGCTCTGCCACCTAGCACAGGGAGCTAATGGGGGCTTGCAGCACTGGGGGTGGTTGGTGGTTTGAGGGCACTCTCTCCATCTTTTAATCCTGTATATTTTTGTAAAGACTTCTACTGTTTTTTATCGCTTTTTTATTTGTAAGCTGCCTAGAGTCACTTATACAGTGAGGTGGGCAGTGTATAAATTTGTTTGATAAATAAATAAACAAATAAACAAACGTTGCCCTCCCTTCAGTGAAGCCTGAATGTTTAGAGAAAAAAAAAATACCTTCAAGATTACTTAGTCTAATCACACTGAGACTGTAATGGAAAAAATAAACCAAACAAAATGGACTACACCCTTCCCCGCCTCTTTCGGATATGACCAAGGTCAAACCCAGTTCCTCTCTTGGCTTAATCCTATCAGACCCAAAGTGACCCTCCCTGTCCCAGACAAAGCCCCCTGCAAGACCATATAGATCAAAGAATAGAAGCCTCCCCACCAGCTCACAGCACAACCCAGGGGCAGCCCTAACAAGGGAGTTGCAACCTAGAGAAACTCCAACCTTCCATCTTTTTATCAGCTGATGACCTCAACATTCTATCTCCTTAACAATGGGCTTCCCCAGCTGTGCTGCTCTCCTGAAAGGCCCACTTTGCCTAACAACAGAACTCGCCCCAGGCACACTGACAAGGACCTGCCAACTTCCCCAAACTGGCCAGACAGTCAGATCTCTAGAATTTCCTGCCTTGTATCCCTCAACTTCTATAAAAATCTTTGCTTTCCCATTGTTCAGGGTCCCTCTTTCTTGTAAAGCAGGCACCCAATGATAATTGCAATAAACATGGTTCTTCTCCTCAGTGTTGTGCTCCTTACTTTGGCAAAAATTCCACGACAGAGACATGGATGAAAGAAATAATATTTCAGAGTATTAGTTTCATGTTGACCATCAGCTTTACAGAAAGTACTTACAGACAGTACAGGATAACTTACACATGCAACAAATTCAAAGCAAAAGAATTGCCTTGAAATAGGTTTTCCAGCATGCAGCACAAAGCTAAGAAATTTGTAAAACAGACACAAATTATGCACTGAAGATATTATCTAGCCAGGTAATGAAACGCCTGCAAGAAAACAACCAAGCTCAGAGAACCCCAAGGACTCCACAGATGCAAATTATTGCTTTGCACACACCTAATAGCTTTAAGAATTCTTGACAATCAGTAATAAAGGATAGGATAAGGTGTTAAGAAAGATAATAATAATGAAAGATGAATGGCAGTTTCTGTATTTTTATGGGTAGCGATTTGTATTAATCATATGGAACAATTCCCTAGATTGCATTGCAAACCATTTCAAAACTTATGGGAATATTGTAGGCAGTTTTTAATACGACCTGAAGTCTGCATTTTGTGGAAAATGGTCAAATGGCTCCCTGGGGTAGAAGATTTCTGTGGAGCTTCTCCAATGAAACTTTCTGTGGATTGTGATTTCAAGAATTATGCATCTAAGTTTTAGTATGTGATTCATATGGCTGTTATTATCCCACCCTATGGTTAGGGTGTGTGTGTGTGTGTGTGTGGGTGTACCTATATATTTTAAATGTCTTGGATAAATATGTACAGATCACATATACATGTGTATTTGTATATTCTTCCCCCTCTAAGAAATTACCTGATTTAATTCTCCATTTGGAAGTACAGGCCACATATAGGTCAACTTATTCCATAAAGGATTCTCCACTTTTGATTGTTTCCATTGACCAGGCTTACTTGTTCCTTCGTGTTTAATGGCCCATCTGAAAGAAAAAGGTCCATTTTCTTATAAGAAGGTTCACTTGCTTTTTAACTAATATGTTTCTGACTGGCAGTAATTCTTGGACAGCTAAATCATCCTTCCCTTTGGCAAACAATTCTTTTAAAAACGTATCAAATACTGTACGTATGCATATATGTGTACTGTTGTCTGCTCTATTTTCTCCCCATGCTGGCTTTCAGTTCGTTACTCCTGCTTTGTGAATTTAATTTAACCTTCTATAAATGTTGTTACTTTCATGTATTTTTTTTTTAGTATTGTTCTATAGATTTGAATGTTATTGTTCTTTCCCAATATTTTAGATTGTTTAAAAAGATGTACTACTGGTTCATGCTATTTACCAGATATACCACTCCACAACAGTTGGTTCATAATGTATTTTATGATAACACAGTGATCCAAAGGCCAAATGAACTGAGTAAAGAAAATAAACTATAGGACAAAATATAGGAAGCCACACATAATATGCATCTTATAATCAACTAAGTACATATAAAACTTTAAAAAAATACTTTTTAAAAAAGATGGACTATATAACAATAAAGTACAAGGTAAGACAACATGGAATATTGTGTCTTTTTTTATGATATACAACCACACATAACACTCATATACAAAAATTTTCCTTTCATGGCAAGATACTAGGTGCAAACAGGAGAAACTGTTGATACGAACTATTGATACAAGAAAGAGGAGTCATTAGATTTCTTAACTACTAACATATTCCTTTACCATTCTATTTACTGCCCATTTAACAAGAACAAGGAAATTAATTTCTTATCTAGAGCATTGGAAATCAATACTCTTTCAATTACATTATCATAAATCAGTTTGATTCAGATCCCTTGGATTCATGTCAGTACTCTAATTTCCTTTAAGAAACTGGTTATGGGACAGGAACTTTGATTTTAAAATGTTTTGTGTTTTTTTCTAAAACCGTAGATGAATGGGGTAACCAGATAGATGAGTTACAGATGTTATAGCAAAATTACCTGATGCATTCGGTCTATCTAAAGGGGGTCTAATTTAGTTTGTTTTTCTTTTAAATGTATCTTTCTTTGTTCAGAAATTTGCAAATACAGTTTGAGAGGAAAAGGGGGCTTGATTGCTATCCACTTGAGCAAAAAGCAGTTTGGGATCCAGTTGCACATGTGAAGCCTGTCAAGATTCTGCCAGGTCTTGTGCATTATTGGTAATGAAAATCTGCAGTGTACACCACATGGTTTTTCCTGAAAGTGCTATTAAGCTGCCAGGTTTCAGCCACAGTATGATTTTTAATAACCAAGTTCAAGCCTTCTGAAAACTGTGTTTTATAAATGAAAAGCTGACAATCTCTGAACTGCATTGGCACTAATAGGTAGCAAAATAATGACTGTATAAGTGCCTAAATGCATTCTGCCCTTACAGCACTTCATTGGGGGCAGGGGGTCTGCTTCAGCTTTCAATACTATCTCTAATTTAAACTACAATATTTTTCATTTGCAGCCACTAGGTGGAAACAGCGGTTCATGGAAGCTCAGTTGAGAGCCATCTATTTTCAGATGCTATATCACATTTAATCCTACTTATGTTATTTCAGTTTCTTTGTATTGCAGACAGTCCTAATACAATTGCTTTCCCCCTTATGGCATTCAAAGATGTAACGCAGAATTTCTCATGCCCCCAACAGCATCAAATCTCTGTTTTTCAAGAACACATGCAAAGCTCAATGCTAGGTTAAAAACAATTATGACAGATTTTCTAACTCCATAATCAATAGGTATGATATGAATCCTTTTCCTATTAGAAAAGCAAAGAAGAGACTGACTAGGATTGAAACAGGTATGTCCATCTCCGTCAGTAGGAAGGATATTCAATCTTGCATTCCCACATGAAAACAAATCTGGGTCAGACTGAACAGTAGATCTGGTGGGTGCATAATGGAAAAAGCAAAGGGAAGTGCTACACTGTGAGCAATAGTGAAACAAGATCACTTAATGTACCCTATGGTTTCAGCTGAAGCCAAGATCTACCTGTATTTCTTGATATTTTACCACTTTGTAGAAACTTGGGAGAAAACTAACAGGAGCATCTTTTGCACATTTACTAAGAATACATCACATTATGTACAGTGGATTTTTTTTCCTAAGAAAGTATATGTTTTTCTCATTAATGATTCTTACCACATGCAGGGAATATCTTGAATCTGCTACAAACCACATGCCCAAGCATAGCATGACACATGCAGAAAACATACTGGCAGGCTGTAAAAAGGCCAATTTTTGGCTAGAGAGACAGGCTTTGCTTCCTTATTTTTGCAAACTTTCCTAATACAGTTGTTTCTCCCCAAAGGTCTCCCAAACCTCTCCACTAAGTGATTAACAAAAGTGAGAGATGTGTGTTTGTTTGCACAATGTAGTTTCGTTTTGTTTGCTAATTATAGAGCTATCTCCACTCCTGTTCCCTTTCAGCCTCTCCTTGAATCTAGGTAGTGAGATCAGCTCAAGTAAATGAAATTAGGTTTTACAATGCCTTGGGCTTGTACTGCAGATCAAATGGGTTGAAGTATAGCATGGCTCAGTGTCTTTATGGGATTCATTATAAAGCTAGATGTAAACATTTCAGTAGGGCTGATCCATTCATTAACATGGTATTTTTGTAAGTCCCTAATAAAATTAATAAGCTTTCATTTGATTTGCAGGACTATAATATTCTGACAGACCTTTCATCCTAAGATTTCAGCACTCAACAATTAAAGCAGTATCTGGCTATAGAATACACATAATTTTGCTTTTGTTGTTATAATGTTGCCTCACTAAAACAACAAAGCATGGTAAAATTAAACTTTTGAAGCATGTTGCAGAGCTCCACAAAAATTAGCCACTGTCACAGCTGGGCAGTAGGAAAATTAAAGTAGAATTTCCCTACTATTCTTTTTTTAACCACATGGGAACATTACATTATCCATGAATTTTATCAGATTAAATATTCCAGCCTACAATACACCAATATATACAGCAATGCAGTCTGCATGTTGCACTTGATCAGGAACTATCCCAGAAAATTACTGCATTCGTACACAGAAGCAAATAATTATATACACTATAGAAATGACATTGTTTATTTGTGATATTTTTAGTCCTACAAGCTTAGTAAAGTATTTAAAAAACATGTGGGATTCAAGTACAGTTCCCAGGTAAAAGAGAACGGAGCTGAGCTATTGAAACTTTATCAACAGATGAAACAATCATGCTTTCTCTTAGTCCTCTTATTAACTACTGTATGGAACATCTCCCTCCTAACAGCACCAATGTAGCCTTCATGACATTTTCAGTCCTATAAATCCTCAACCTCATAATTAAGTGTAGTGCTTTACAGGAGTTCACTGGGTGACTCTGAGCCAGTCACTCTCTCTTAACTTAACCTACCTCACAGAGTTGCTGTTGTGATAAAATGAAGGCAAATCCCCATGAAAGCTGTTTTGAGTTCCTGGGAAAAAGTAAGATATAAAACTGACAAATAACATTTTCCTAGCAATTGAGAGAGGGGATACCACCATTACTGTCCAAAATCCAAAATTTAAATCAAAAGTTGTAAGATAACAGTTGACATTTTGTTAGCATAGAATAGTCAAGACTAACAGGTTCTTATACTTCTTATACATGAAGGG